GTGTATTTGGAGTCCAACATAATCTCTAGGACATTCTCAGGTGGGTAGTTAGCGTTATAGAAGGTCTATGTACCTTAATGGAAGCCTTGTAGAAGCCCTATATACCCTAAACTCCCCACCTGTAGTTTCCTTCAACATAGTGCAGCTTTAGGACGAAGGATCCTGGACCCATGAAAGGCTATATATATATATATATATATATATATGTATATAATCTTCGCGCCGGAAATCCCAGGGAAGAAGTGATCCTGATAACTAGACCAGGAACTCGGAAGTCTTGAAACCCCAAGCCCGAAATCCCTATTCCCTAAACCCGATACCTTGAACTAAACCCCTTTCTGAATTGTACTGGGGCATTGGAGTTTTGTCTCCGGGCCTCCACCGGGCCTACTTCTGTTCAGTCTGCTTGATTTGAATACGAAAACATATAATTTTCGGTAACTAAGGTTAAGAGTAAGCCAAAAGAAAAAGGAAGATGGCAAGTTGGTAGCGGAACTGGAGCAAGGTTCTGTTCGGGCGCATTTTTGGATTTATTCCGAGTTCTGCGGCCCCAAAAAGCCAGAATCAAAGGCGTTCATATAGGAGCCCTAACAATTAGAATGGGGTTTTGGGACCCCTTATAGTATATTTGTAATAAGGAGCCCCCCCAAAATAGTGTTAGTAATTATTGAGGCTCCTTTATAATTTTCTTGGGAAGTCCCCTCAACCCTACACCGAGTCCTCTGAGTTCCCTAAAACCAAATCCAAAGCTGTCAAGCCTCAACGAAAAGCCCGGAGCCCTGGGAACTAACAACTTGTGGTATACGTATGTACAGAACCGAGAAGGCTCTAAGGACTCATGTTTGGACGGCTTTTGGCGCCGAGCCTTCATGTTAAGGGTATCTGGGCTGTTTGGAGGTGTATCTAGTCTAATTTGGGCTTTCAAGCTCATAGAAATCTACGACCTTAGTTAACAAGAAGCAAGAAAAGCCCAAACCTTCAACCATGCTGTGCAGATGACTGAGGTGCAGATCGTGCAACCGACCACGGCCTCCGCAAGCTGCAAGGGAGGAGATGTAATGCGGACAAAGGCGTAGAGTTCAGAATTTTGGGTTGTGGGGCTGAGGGTGCTATTATTTAGGGTACCCCAAAAGGGACCATAATTTTGACAACTACCCATGTGAACGGTGCTCACAGTTCGGGGTCGCTGGGGTCTAGGATTTGGGCGTGGCGCTTTCCCCTGCAATGCTGAACCCTAAACCTGAAACTTGACACCATCTCTTAAGCCTCAAGTTCCACGTTGGAGACTTAAAACAAACCTCCACCCGGCCGCTCCGTCTTTCGGGTAGCCTTGAAGGTGAGCTCAACAGGCCAGGAGACGCTTGTCACTTCCTCAAACCTTCGCAGTCTAAAAAAAGGAAAACTAAAGGTGGTGAGTTTGGGGTTTGGAGTTTACAGGGTTTAGGGTCTATAGGGTTTCCTGAAAATGTCCTAGACCCGAGGTGCACAACAAGATGGTTTCAGTCCCATAGTTGGGCTTGGCAGCCAGGGCACAAATAGTCGGATTTGGTAGGGTTTTCGGTTCCGGTTGAAGGACGGAGATATACGGGCTGTATCCCAACGGAATAATCATCGGACTCGGACTATGTGGGGATCCAAACCGGCTGGTTTAATTCTTAGCACAATGCAATTTTTAGAGGGTGTAGGGCTTAGAAGTTTAATTGCACGTCAGGTTGTTTCTGTCGGAAGTTCCCTGTTCTCAGGCGCGCAGCAAACATGCAGATGTGAGCCCATGATAGCCCATGCCCATGCCGTATAGGACAACACGCCCACTTACACTTCTTCCAGGCCCTTCGTAACCCCCACCCTAAACCAGAACCCGAAACCCAACACCTTGAAGTCCAGAGAGCCTCGTGAATCAGGAATTTCTTAGACCGGCGGCATGTACAAGATCCCGCCCAAAGGTGAGTCGAAGATCATGGCCATTCCACACCTGGGCGCGCGGAGGCTGTAGGGCTTAGGGTGCATATCTGCTTTAGGTCCCAGTGCTTAGGTTTTAGAGTGTAGGGGCTTCGAAAAAGTACCTGTGGTTCGAAGGAAGGCCCCACCTCAAAGCGCAAAGTCGGCTTGAAGGCCAAGGCACCGCTTGGGATTTCGCACTTGGAAGCTCTTTGGACGTCCTATGACCCCTACTATAACCCCCACAAGTATTGTCTATCTTACTTACGACATGAAAAGAGCATGCAAACAGGGACATAGCCCCGAAAGCAGCTAAGGAATGCCTCACACCTTGTGCCATAGCTCCATACCAACATCTCTGTCAAGCCAACCCAATGTTGCGACCCCAAACGCTTCTGACATTGTGGTGATACAGCTCCAAGGAGTGCTGCAAGGCCGATACTGGGAAGACACACACATACACACACTAGCTATGTGCGTCTGCAGCATTCCGTGTACAACCTAGACGCCATGTGCTTTGAGCAAGAATCCCGGTGTTGTTGAAATGGACACTATTCCGAGATCCCTATCGGTATTTCACAACCCTGCCCGGAAACTTTGTCGACATGACGGCCTGATCCAACAAGTTAGGGTCTGGGTCTAAGTGCATGTGGCGTATGGCATACATACATGGGCACAGCTACCCATCTACGTATATACAGTGGCATATGGCAGTGCCAGGAAAAAGGGGGCCCCAATATGTAGACCACATCGACCCCTAATAATTGACTTCTTTTTTGACAAGAGGCCGGATTAGGAGAAACCTCATGCACACATGCACTTAGACCTAGAGGCCCTGGACGTTGAAATGAACCCCAAACTACAAGTAGCAGGCTGCACAGCTAGGATTCCTGAAATGCCTGTTTTCTCGGATGCTAAAACATAAAGCCTTAACCGCTATTCCTGACACTTAGAGACCATGGCACGCACCGCCAACGACGCAGGCCACGCGAGCCGCGCGTGCAAAGAAGCGCTCGTCAGCCAAGGCACCTAAGGTCCAGAGCTCTGCTTCTTCCGGCTTTGGGATCCAGGAGAACCGTAAAGCCCTGACGGGTTTAAGGCTTCGGAATGTGGATTTGTTGAGTCCCAAACCCCAACTCTAATGTAAACCGTGCCTGAACCACGAGGGGATTTGAGGTTTCGGACTTCGGGGTTCGGGCCCAGGCCCCTGCAGTTTGAAGACATAGGGGGTGTGGGGTTTCGGCGCTCACACTCGGACAATCCAGGCGAGGCATAGGGTTCGAGGTCTTCAAAGAAGTGAGACAAACTCACACTTGGGACCAAGACACAGTTCCGAGGCTTCAGGTTTAGGGCTATTGTCCAGTAACCTTGAGAGTTCAGGATTGCAGTACTCACCCGTATAGGGGAGGTGCAGTGTGAGAGGACGAGGGCATGATACTGCATCCGTGCTGGCCATGAACCCAACCCCCAAAATAGCTGTAACCAAGTCGCGCTATGCGTATCTCAATGGTGGAAGCCGTAGACTCTAGGCGCCTAAGTTCCTAAGTGGTAGAAGCCTAAACCTTGAATCTTTAACTCCAAATTCCCACTCCCCAAACTCCCCACCCCAAAAACCCTCAACATCCAAGATGACCAGAGCTTCTCCCAAACACCTGATCTCACCCTGATACCAAAAAACCCTACACAGCTCTTACAACGGACTGGCATTCTACCACCCCTACCTCAAAAAATTAGATGGAACACAACGCGCCCAACTCCATCCATGCAGCTCCCCACCCCTCTCAACAACACCCAAACCTAAAAACTCAAAACCCTGAACCCAAACGAACCCTAAGCAATAAACCCCTAAACTCCGAAACAAGAATTCGCACTAGAAGTTCCCCAGCACTTTCAAAACCCAGGAGCCCGCTGAGCCGCCTTGCAAGTCCACCCACTCCTGAGATTATCACGAAAGTGGATTCTATATCAGGGTTTAGGGTTTAGGGGTTTAGGGTTTAGGGGTTTAGGGGTTTAGGGTTTGGGGGTTTAGGGGTTTAGGGGTTTAGGGTACTACAAGCATTCCTGTATGGATTACTGTCATAGTGCTTTAGGATGACTTGATAGGTTTAATCAGCGTGACTGGGTTCTGAAAGCTAGTAGGCTAGAGGGCTTTATAAGTGGATACTATAAAGCTTTGTTTCACCAGGCTTCCTTCACCAGATTCTCGAAGGGGTTGCCATACGGATTCTACAAGGTTTCAGCACTCACCCCTCGAGGTTGCTGGTACGACGAACAGCTCATTGGCCCTGCAGCAAGCGGTTTCACCAACCGCAAGATTCCCACTACAAGCTGTCTACACCATGCGAGCCACCCTCATTCACACAACATATCTCGCTTCTTCACAGCACATGCTCAGTGTACGGGGTTTAGGGTTTGGAAATCAAGCAAGGGTTGAGGTGGCAGGGGGTTGGCGCTTAGAGGTTTAGAATTCAGCGATTTAGCGATTAGGTTTTGCGGTCAGGAGGGGACTGCGGGTACCTGAAGCAACCAGCGCATACTTGTTTGAAGGGCCACTTGAATTCGATGTATGAGCCTATATGAAAATCCTACGATAGACAGGTTATAGTAGGTGAAGAAGGGGATTAGGACAGGGTCATTCGGCGGCTTGGGTTCAGGTTGGGTATCCAGGGTCTGAAGGGAACAGAGTTTGGTATTCATAGGCTTTCAAATCATTAGTTCCGAGAGTATGCCAGGCTTCTCTCAATACTTTGTACTGAGGTTATCCTCTCTATTTAGTGCCGTGACACTGGAGTCGTCCCTTGTGCTTGCAAACACTGTTCTCTTGCGTGGTTTTCAACACGGCAGCGACGATGCTCCCTGCAATAGGCCGGGGTCCGACAATTGATGTCATGGGGAACCGCTCTATTCCTGAAGTGCCGGAAACAAATCAAATACAAGTTCCCTCGATGCCGAGTACGATTCATGCGGGGGCCGGTGCTTGTAGTCCAGACCGTGAAGAAGTGGTGTTGGATTTTCCAGTGTCTTACAAACCCCTGGAATTGGGGGAATTATTGAGATTTTCGCAAGCAGCATTTCATATAGGAGTTGCACAGACTTGCATACTTCGTTGAAGCAAAGGCCATTGCTTTGGGGTGTAGTGTTGGACTTCAGGGATTGGTGCTGCGGGTTGCAGAGTTTCCCTTTGCAGGATGGGTTTAGTAGTTTTGCAGAATCATGCTTGCAAACTGTCATGTGGATTCGGCTTTGGATTACCAGCACCCCCCCACGATAAGGAGTTCGACGTACGCTCACAAAATGCGTTGTAATTATAGGACCCACAGTAGCAAGGCGCGGAACGTGATCCTAACCCCCTTTTTGCGAAATAAACTCTAGTTCCCAGCAGCACTAAATCCAACAATCTTATAACCCTACACGGAAAACCTGAAGCCTTACAGCGTGGTCCTTGGCGTAAGAGCGTGTCTCCGCGACAGCACGGCAGAGAAGGAAGGCCATGTTGCTTCCCATCGTTACCTGGACAAGGGCTAAGGGTTCGAGTCCAGAGATAAAGTCCAGAGTTGGGGACTTCTGGCAGGAGTTGTTTTGAGTGTTGAGTTTTGGCACTCGCACCCGACCACAGTATTGAGCTTACTTGTTTAGGGTTTTTGGACGAGTCCAGGCTTAGGGCCTTTAGCCGGGTTGCAGTCGGCCCTTCCCGTCCAACCGGGAAGCCGGTGGCATTGGACAGGATCACCGCCACAGCGCGCACCACGAGGTTGCCTGGGGAAATGCCAGGCTTTCCAAGCGGATTACAATAAGAGTGGTGCAGGGCGGCTTTAAAGCCAGGCTGAAATGAGTTGGTGTGGTCTGAAAGTATTGAAAAGGGTAATTAACTCCGGTTCAGGCCTTCGGTTCGGGGAGCTTTGGGGTTTGTTCAGGTTTTCGGGGGATGCCCGGAGCGAAGATGAGATCATTGCAGCTTCGACCGGGAAGTTGTCGCATGTTGCTCCTGCGAGTTCAACCACGCTGGCCAGATAGTGGTGACCGCGAACATCACGATGATGATGAGGAGGAGGACAGTGGTGAGGCTGACACGGGTGTGAATCGGAAGCATGGAAATACGAGAGCGGATGATTCAACAATCATTGCTCTATCCCTGAACGCTGAACCTCGGCAACCCGAAGACCTGATCCCCCCAAAGCTCAGCCAGGAAGCGTTTGGTAAACTGCGCAGACATGTTGAAGCCGTTGAGCCAGCTCTGGGCAGGTCGAAGATGAAAGAAAGACTCATGTGTGGCTGGCGGTCCGAAGCCCCGAAATCGAGGAAAGCGAACTCACAGCAAACAAAAACACACTAAACCCGAAACCCGAAGCCCTAAACCGCCTTGTTCTCAACCGAGCCAGACCCGCCGCTGTCCGGTGCGATCCCTCGGTGGAATCTTGAAGTTAGTGAAGAGGGGCTGAGGGTTTATGATTTAGATTTTTGTGTCTGTAGGGGTAGGGTAGTTAAGGTTTCGGGATTTCGGGATTAGGGTTTGGGGTTCCGGCTGTGAGAAAGAGAGTTGAGGACGTAGGGTCTCTTGAAGTGTCGAGGTTGTAGGGGTTTCCACCTCGCCCAGCTGGTTGTACGCCACATGTTAAGATGTGTTGATCTTCCGGGTTTGGCTCCAAGCCATGTTCTACATGGGCCTGAACCGTCGGCTTACGGACTAATTAAGACTCGCGATGTATGGGGACGATGGCCAGGGACCTGGATGCGCAGCGCAGGCACTTGTCCGCAAGATGTCATCCTCAACGGTCTATACAGGTGAGGTTCCCTGACAAATGTCAGGCCGGCCCAAACCGCTGGAACTGCATTCCATGCCGAAACACCGTGGATGAGCGACGTAGCCACTGCGGCGAAGATCATTGCGAGGGACACCAAGGTCACCAATCCCAGGCCGACACCACCTTCCCAACGGAGAAGAACAGAGGTAAGACTGTCAAAAACGCATCTCAGGCATTGTGGGAAAACGAGAAGAGAGGGAGGAAAGAGAGCAAGAGAGACAGAGA